ACCGCTGTCGAGAGGAATGGAATTCAATCATGTGAACATCACCATTGATCTTGAGCAGGTCGGATTTCTATAGCAGTTAAAAACATGATTACTAAATAATTATTCCAAAAGGCTGTAAAAAATACGGTGAGAAATATGATTTCTGTGAAATTCATCGCTTCAATTTCAGGAATTCCATGTGGCGTACGTGTGGATCCAAATGGCCAACAGTCCAAAACCAGGCACATGGATCCTAGAAGAGATCAACTGACTATGGAAAGACTTTTCAACCTTGGTACTTTCTTCGCGGAAACACCTGCGGAATGCATGAGGGTAAATGATTACTCATCCTTTTTGAAACCTTTCTTATTGCGTCAGTGTAGTCCAGAGACACAAATGTTCTCCAAAATAAGTTGATAAATAATCAAATGCTCCTATGTACAATGTCGAAGGTAGGACGGGCGCATGGCGCAAACAAATTAACCAACAGTAAAAGATTTGCTTAAAGCTCTCAAGTTATTGCAAAGTGGTATTCCTTTCTGTAAAATTAATGAAATTATTAGAGAATAATTTGCTATTGTTAAGCATATAGAAAATAAAAACACTATGACCAGAAAGGTGACGGTTACATTTTTAAAAGTTTTAATTATTTCCAGCAATTCGGAATGGAGTCGCTGTCACCCATTTCGGAAGACGATCGAGTAGTGTGTCGGTCAGATTTGGCTGGCATTCATCCGCTGGAAAATGCTGAGGTTTGAAATTTTAAAGCACTCACCAGCAGCACTTTTAAACATACCGTGGACATCTAGAATTACCTACCACGAAATTTCACTGCTGTAAAGTTTCCAGTAGTCTTGGAGTCATTGCAATTATCGATTTTCAGATGGTGATCAAGATTCTCGAACATCGCCCTAGTCGTTTCAAATTCTCGTCGTCGGAAGCGCTTCAGAATTTCACCAGAGCCACAAATGTACGCATACGTCTTCTGGGAACCCGAACACTTCAAGGACACCTGATGCATTTGAATGACAGAACGGATCCAACTGTCACCAGACGGGTACGTGGATTTTACGGAAGTCTTTCGTAAATTGCGATAATAACAAAAGGACATAAATACAGCAAAAGGTCAAGTAGTCTTCTGTGGCTGCCCCTATCGAGACCGTAATATAATCTCCCCGAAATGATAAAAATTAAGGAGAGTGTTAGCCCGATGAACTCGAAACATTATGTTTTAAAGCTTTGCCCTCACATAACTGTATAAAAACATGCATGGCGTATACTTTTAGCTTGTCTTTCATTAGTGGGTCTGTTTTATTCAATGAAAAACTGATCTTCGTGTGCATCAAAGTGCAAATGGGACACGATATTTTCATGGGTCCGCTCAGATGATACTTTGGAGAACGCGAATACAAAAGATGCACGCTGTGGGCCGTGATAGAATGCTTCATGTTTTTACCTAATGAGCGAAATTGGTATCGCTCGCCTATACGTTTTAAACAATTTTCCTTAGCCTTCTGTCCTTTTATTTTTTATTTTTTCTAACACTGGATCCAAAAATTATTCAATACAATTATTGATCACTAAGAGAATAATTTTTGCTTAGATCACAATATGAAGAAGCCAACATAAGGGTTTAACGACAATAGAATGCTTCAGTATTTCTATTCCATTAAAAGAATCCTGATGGGAGGACGTTGTGTGTGCAACGGACACGCAGGTACCTGCGACATTTTGGACCCGAGAAGACCGGCACACTCGACCTCTCAGAGTACGGTGTTCTCGTTTTGATTTTTATACGAATGAGAAAGAAACAAAGAATAAGAAAAAAAGAATAGAAAGCATAGCAATGAGATGGTGATCGCTTCTAATTTAGATGCGAGCATAACACCTGTGGTGATATGTGTGAACGTTGCTGTCCAGGATTTCTGCAGAAGAAGTGGCAACCAACCACCGCTCACAACAACTTCACCTGTGAACGTGAGTTTGTTTCTCGACTAAGTCTTGATTTTCTGGAGCCGCGCTATCATTTATAGTATATATTACTACCAGATTAGTCCCCCGTCAACCGCCGGGACCTTCCTTTCCTGCGCAAGCTTTCTATCCTCCGCTATGGTCCCTTCCTCCTGTGACACCAACACCTCGTGGAAGTGACGCGTATGCAACACAATGGTGTTTCATACAGTAGAAGGGACACAATCATGATGACGGTAGATTTTTCGCTTCCCTTCCTCATCCTCCCTTCCTCTCTCCACTGCCCTCCAGCTGCCACTGCAGCACCATGTGGAATGAACGGAAGTGTGCTAAGCAGGTGTTTATATAGCCCTGAGAGTGTTATCACAACTATCCTGCTACAAAACATTGATATCTCAAATCCTGTAAGCTACCCGATTTGTTAGCGGTTTGTTTATATCCCATGAGCTTCCTTCTCACTCACTTCATTTTGCGGACGGACACACATACATACACACACACACACACTCACACACACACATACAGATACACAAACCGACACACAAAGTTAGCGCTTTATATAATAGAAGGATTAGTATAACTTCGTATAGGCGTTCAAAGACGACACGAGTATATAAAACATGATATTCAAATAGAACGGTGAAACGTGATACAGTAGTGCTGCCGGAACAAAAGCGACCCGTGGAACAAAAGCGAGCGATCACATGCGTGATTGGTGGATACTGTAGGGACTGTTTCTCGGACCCTGTCTGTTCGCTATGGAACCGCTTCCATTGTTCTGGCGTTCCAAACAACGCTTTTCATTTATAATCTATGTCCTTCTTCTATCAGAGGGAGTAAAATCCGAATATGGGTCGTAGGCAAATATTGGCTGGGCGATATTCTATCTGTAATACGCCTGTAGGCAAGGGAGTCCTGTACCAAGTGAACGGGTATGAGGGAAGGGCGTGTTCAGTCGAATCTTGTTTCTTGACTAAGTGGACAAAATTTGAAACCGAGATCAACTTCGCTTCAATAAAGCTCCACAAGTGTGAGCCTAAGCCTAAATAAAAAGAAAAAAATCAAAAAGTGGATCTGGGTAGATGTTGCGTAGAAGTTCGCAACCTCCTGCAATCGCTTGGAATCTTCCTAACCCTGTTCCTGTAAGCTCTGTCCCACCCGCCAGTTTGGGGTAGTGATCGAAGTGGGAGAAGGAATAGTACACGGTTTTAGTTCAACTAAGAAGTGCATTGAAGTTATCCAACTATTCAGAATAGAGGAAATCTGCAGTTTTTTCAGAAGTAGGAGGTTATGTAAATAGCTAAAGCTGTTACAGAGGTTTCAATACTGCTTAATACTGATGATTTAGCTTGCAACTGTTTCGGACGTTCCGACGAATGTGTTTATGATGAAGATGTATTCGTGAACAGCCTCTCGCTTGACATTCATGGAAACTACGAAGGCGGTGGCCGTTGTCTTAATTGTCGAGTAAGTTTCTTGGCCTTTTATTGCTCAAATGAGTGATTCATTCTTTTGCGATAATTAAAGGGGGGGGCTGGAGTAGATAGCAATGATTGAGAAAATAAAGTCTCAAACGTTATCACTCTGTTCAGGACTTCACGGAAGGTGTCAACTGCAACAAGTGCGTGTTCGGTTACTATCGACAGGATGGCGTTCAGTGGAACGACACAATGCCGTGCAAACGTGGGTTCCTATGCCTCCACTACACTAAGTGTTGTTGAGTGCATGGCGTAGCCTGTGAAAACTGACCCTTACCGAATGCTTCATCCATGGCTTTTAGATTAGGGGATCATGAGTTTGAGCAGTTGCTTTCACATCCCAATTACAGAATACATTTACACAGTTTATTTTTAGCGTGCAGATGCGACCCAAGCAAACACACAGGTGACTGTGAAGAAGGGCACAGGCAAGTGCTACTGTCAGCCACGATTCCAAGGAGACAACTGCGACCAGTGCGCTCCTGGTTACTACGATCCACCTGAGTGTAAGAAGTGTGAATGTGCGGTGGATGGTACTATGGACGGAACGTGTTTGGTATGTTTT